ACAGCATACTGCTTTGGTTTCGATTATAGTAGCACTTATACTTATCACAGAGATGGAAAAGATGCAGACAGCATAATAGTAATACTGGTCAAGCGACCAGAGGACAAGGCTAGCAAGTTGGAAAATATAGAATGGGTGGAAAGCCTGGAACAGTGAGCATGCCAATCCAACATTGAACGTCGGTGAACAGGTACCTCATCCATAAGAAGTTGGAAAACAGATTTCTGCTGAATATCAATGAGATTCTTGCCAAACACCTGTTCACGGCTATCACGGTCATCGGCATCCAGTCCAGCTCTCATCCCTTTCGCGTTCAGCCAGGAAGGGTCTTTCCAGCCACCGATTAGACAAAATCGGTCATCGGTTGGGTGGTAAATAAGCCGATGATATCTGTAATCAATGTACCGTAATTGATAGATTGTTGGGTCATTGTCCTCATCATACGACTCGTAGTCAGGACTGAAGACTGTGGAGAGAGGACGACCGTATACTTCAGTATGGACAGTATGAATGTCAAGTTGATTCCATTGATCCTGGTCCCAGTTCAGCGATAAGTTTTTATAGTCCCATATGTAACATTGCTTACCTCAATCACAACCCATTGACAGGTTTGAAGAGGTGTTGGCATTCCCATCAAACGGATTCGATACTTTGGAAACCAACGAAATAGGAGATAGAAAACCCCGAGCGACAACAGGCAAGATAGATAATACAATAGCAGACCGGTAGGACTCGTCGAAAAGCCCGCAATCACGATAGTCAAGTCTTCCGAAACGATGTGAACCTTTTGGCTTACCCTTTGATCGCCCCTATGGCAATAATCACGCGACGAAGCTGATAGAGACCTTCGTAGAAGGGGGTCTTGAACAGAGTCTCTAGAAAAGGACGGACGTTTAGAGGATCTAATTGACTCGTTCGTCTCAATATCAGATAAGTTGTCAACGTCACTTTCAGCATCTATGGTATCTTCGTTTGGCCAGTCCAGGTGTTCCTGATCTTCCTGGAAATAGGTGAAGCTTGTGGTGGAATCCTTGCGATTCCGACGGTGGGAAAAGGAAACAACACTGGAAGGGATACTCTCTGATATCGGTCCATCATATATCTAGTATAGATAGTTATGTTCATTGTTCCATAAGCTTCGCCGGCATCTGGACGCACCTCGTTGCGGGCCATTTCAACGTCTGAGACAACGCTATAGCTGGAAGACCATCAGCAAGGCCCACCAGGAGGGTATTGTCTAGTGTGAAGAACCTGCTTCTTATTGAATTGCGGCGACGATCAGCCCCAGCTGAAAACATGGGTGACTGAGCCTCTAGTGGTGGTTGTATATCAGGCTCCATCTTGAGAATGATACTTCCTATGCGCTTTTGAAGGTCCGCTTCGACTTCGTGTAGAGGTCGATTTTTGGGTTGACACCGACAGGCAATGGACGGAAATTAGAGCTATTTATTTGACTCTTCGCATGCCGAAAACCGCTAATCTCGTCACGCTGAACAACCAAAGTTAACACTGTGTTAGATGTGTAATTATCGATCTGCGTTTGTGCGTGGACTAACGTGATGGTCCGAAGATGCTCTTTATGACCGGCTTGACGTCTTATCTCCACGTGACTATCTAGATGGCGGGATGTTGTCACGGTACGCATCGACTTATGAATCCTTCCTCAATCCGCATACAGAGTTTTGCTGTCTGTTGATAAAGATTCTTGTCTGCCAAGACTTCTATTAATATCAAAATTACCTAGAAAATAGCGAATAGCATAGCTCATACTGGCTGGTATCGAGTATATAGAAAACTTGCAATCTACTTATGTAACCTTTTTACTATAACTATGTCCTGCTCTTAGAGTGTCGGAGCAGAGGTAAGGAGTCTTGACTTGCCTATGACCCGCGGGACCCTGGCCGCGTATGACTGGTGAAATGATATCATCCTGGTGTCTTCTCAATAGCTCGTCGCCCAAACCTCCCTCCGCTAGCTGTTTCTGGGGCGCTTGGATAACACCATCGTATACAGCAGGGACAGCCCCAAAGAGAGTTGCGTCGTGTATCTGTACTTTGACAAGGTAGTATAGACTACTCCGTGGTGAATGTTGGAAAGTTAAGGAAAAGTGGTAAGTTCCGCTGCATAGTACGGTATTCTGGAACTAAAAGGCCATAGTTTCGAGGCCATTGACTATGAAGTATAGAAGGTTATACCTATATTGTACTATTGACTAAAGAGATGGATAATGGTAATTGAGTAGGTAGTTAGTTAGTTAAAAGCCTTGGAATGACAAAGCACATGGCCTGCCGACACCAGTAATTGTCACTGTATTGTTGGGAGCTTTTGAAAAGTTCTCAACAGCCAGCGCCCCCCGTCCCGCCAAGCCCCTCGGCCCAAGGGCGCTAAGGGATCCCACCAAGCCAGTATTATTCCAGACCTCGCAAAACGTATCAAATTCTTCCTTAACTCTCTTCGCCAGACCCCTCTGCCAAACCATCTCCTCGTTACCCCCTCCCCCCTAAACAGCACTGTCAAGATGTCTGAGCCCATCAGGAATAAGAAAGCGGACTTTCCAGTGGCTCCGTAAGTATCCCTTCGCTGAATTACCAACTTCTCAAACATCTTGTATGCTATGCTCTTTGATCTCTGACAAGATACGACGGTTGCAGGACACCACAGAATACCCCGGCCAACAATGCTCCTATTTCTTCTCATGCCCAGCAACCTGGAATTGCTAGTATCAAAGAAGGTAAAATTCCTTACCACCTTCGAGATCGTTTCTCATACAAACCACTTATAGAGTCTCTTGACCATGCTACGGCGGCTTCCCTATTTGCACGCAACCCTGGGCTCGTTTCGATGATTCAGGGAAAACTCGGATCTCTCGTTGGCCGCTCTTCGGGTTACATTGAATCTTTACCCGTGTCAGTCCGCCGGCGCGTTGCTGGCCTGAAGGGTATCCAGAAGGAGCACGCTAAATTGGAAGCTCAGTTTCAGGAAGAAGTACTGGAACTCGAGAAGAAATACTTCGCGAAGTTTACTCCCTTGTATCAGAGGCGTTCCACGATAGTCAACGGAGCCGCGGAGCCTACGGATGATGAAGTTGAAGCGGGACAGGGTGATGAAGAGGATGTTGACTCTAAAGATGATGCTGAGGCCGCCAAAGAAGAGGATCAGGAGTCCCAAATCGCCGGCATACCTGAATTCTGGCTTTCAGCTATGAAGAACCAGATTTCTCTCGCAGAAATGATCACCGAGCGAGATGAAGAGGCTTTGAAACATCTCGTCGATATCCGTATGGAATACCTCGACCGCCCAGGCTTCCGTCTCATCTTCGAATTTTCAGAGAATGCCTATTTCACAAACAAGACTATTTCGAAGACCTACTACTACAAGGAAGAAAACGGCTACGGTGGTGATTTTATCTACGATCACGCCGAAGGCACCAAGATCGATTGGAAGGCTGAGAAAGATCTTACTGTCCGCATTGAGAGCAAGAAACAGAGAAACAAGAGTGAGTATCGAAATAGCATTTATCAAATGTGCACTGTAGCTGACACTCCTCAGATACGAAACAGACCCGGATTGTCAAAATTACCGTCCCCACGGAGTCATTTTTCAACTTCTTCTCCCCCCCTCAGCCCCCGACTGACGATGATGATACCGTTGCTACTGATATCGAGGAGCGACTCGAGCTTGATTATCAGCTCGGTGAAGACATCAAGGAGAAGCTCATCCCCAGAGCCATTGACTGGTTCACGGGAGAGGCCCTTCAGTTCGAAGAGCTGGGTGACGACATGGATGCTGATGACTACGACGACGAGGACGAGGAAGATGAGGATGAAGATGATGAAGACGATGATGATGAGAGGAGATCCGACCGGGACGTTGACGATGACTCCGATGAAGAGGTGCGCATTCAATGATCATCGCTTGCTCATACCGTCGGTCCATGCTAACACCAGAACAGGATGGCACCTCGAAGCCGAAGAAGGAGGCTGCAGAATGTAAACAAAGCTGAGAATGTTCAGCATGGCTCAATAAACCAAGCTCGGAGCATGCATGAATCAGTTCATCACGCCTAGCCCTCAAGTGGTGTTTTCCTTTTTCTTTCCTTTTGTCTTATCAATGTTTTCGCCTCTACTTTATCATACTTTATTATTTATTTGTCACTGTTTCCACCCCCGGTCCTCTTGACTTGTCGTTTCCGCCTAGTAATCTTGCCTCAGAATGTTGTCCCAGTGTCTTGGGGAGCGCTTTTGTAGTGCAATTAATCCATTGGCGTTTCCTTGTTTAAGGCATCGTGCGCATCGCTAGTCTTGTTGCGTGACACATATCTCTAATCACTTTCTATCCAAATTTTGTGTCCAAGCAACGATATGAAGCATGAGCTTACTCCAGACTTGGGCAGTACACAGAGATCGTATGTCCGCTTGCTCTCGTGTTGGCCCTGTGCGGGGGGGGGAAGAATTAGAAAACAGCTCTTCGTGGCCAGAGGAACATAATCTCTACTGTTTCTAATAACAAAAGCGCTAATGTTTGCTCTTTCAAACCGGCGACTTCATACAAAACGAACGAAAAAACTGCTTTTACCCCCATAATGGGTAGCATGGTGCATACAGTAGATAGTTATCGATGAGTGGTCCGTCTTAGCTAATTTTTAGTAGTGTTTCTTCACCGCCTGTTCTGTCACCATCTTATGTTGATGTAAGACTGTCTATGCTCTGCAGAGCATCTGCCACAATTCGGACTGGCAGCTGCATATGAGCTAGAAAATTGTCCGTTCTAGTCATTCTTGTATAAATATATTCTCTGGGGAAGAGTAGACAACCCCTTGATGGCTTCTGATTATCATCAATACCTAGATAGCAGTAATACATGATGTTCATGATTTCTGGCTCTTGGCGCTGGTGCTGACAACTGTGGGGATCGCGTCGACAAGTGGCGCCGCTCTCCAGGCGCCGCCTCAGGGGTTGCGGCTCGGTAACGCCAGCTGTTAGCCAGTTCAGTAATTTCTCCCTGAAGCGAAGCATGATGCCTTCTTCTGACTTATAATCAAGGATAGAGCCCGTCGCTACCACTACCAGACGGGAAATCATTTCTCGAATTACTTTAATCAGTTGTGCTTTTCCCTCACCTCCTCACTAGATGCCTTTTAACATCGATTATTCGAACAGATCCTCCGAACGTCCCGCATAGGTTGCTTTCTCCGGTCACGTCAAGATATAGAGAGACAACATATCTGCAGACCTGAACGCAATGGCTCACAATTACGAGGTCGGAACAAGGGCTTGGCAACCTGATCCGACCGAGGGATGGGTCGCATCTGAAGTCAAAGAGAAGTTAGTTGATGGGGACAAAGTGCAGCTTGTCTTCTTGATAGAAAATGGAGAGGTTCGTACTATATTATCTGTCCGGCTATCTCACATAGAAGATATGATATCAACTGACAAGTTTATGTGCAAAGACAAAAACTCTGGAAACTACCCAGGCCGAGTTGCAGGTAGACAACAATCCAAAACTGCCGCCCTTGATGAATCCTGCCATGCTCGAAGCCAGCGAAGACCTTACGAACCTGTCTCATCTGAATGAGCCAGCCGGTGGGTGTGTGTCCGAATCGAGATTACGGTGGTTACTGAGTCCCTTCCAGTTTTGCAGGCCATCAAGCTGCGTTATGCCCAGAAAGAAATATACACATATAGCGGCATCGTTCTTATTGCTACCAATCCCTTTGCCCGGGTCGATTCACTTTACGTTCCACAAATGGTGCAAGTATATGCTGGAAAGCATAGGGCATCTCAGGCGCCACACCTCTTTGCTATCGCCGAGGAAGCGTTCGCGTAAGAGCGACTCCTTTTCCAAGGAAAACCTATATGTTTGCTTACGAGATTTGTATAGTGACATGCTACGCGATGGAAAAAATCAAACGATTGTAGTCTCTGGTGAATCAGGTGCCGGGAAAACGGTCAGCGCAAAGTACATAATGCGTTATTTTGCAACCCGCGAGTCTTCAGATCAACCTGGAAAATATACTACCAGTCGAGCAGATGCCATCAGTGAAACCGAAGAGCAGATCTTGGCCACAAATCCTGTCATGGAAGCTTTCGGAAATGCCAAAACCACCCGCAACGATAATTCTTCGCGCTTCGGAAAGTACATTGAGATAATGTTCGATGACAGGACCAATATAATTGGCGCAAAGATACGAACTTATCTTCTTGAACGATCTCGACTTGTCTTCCAGCCACTGAAAGAGCGCAATTATCATATATTCTACCAACTGGTTGCCGGTGCCACTGACCCCGAAAAACAGGAGCTTGGCCTTACGTCCGTCGAGGATTTCGATTATCTTAACCAAGGTGGTACACCGACGATTGATGGTGTTGACGACAGAGCCGAATTCAATGCGACAAAGAAGTCCTTGAGTACTATAGGGGTCCCGGAAAAAACGCAGGCGGAAATATTCCGTGTGCTCGCTGCTTTGTTGCACCTTGGGAATGTCAGAATTACCGCCACCAGGACAGATTCGAGTTTGTCTTCCTCGGAACCTTCACTTGTTCGAGCTTGCCAATTGCTTGGGATTGACGCCAACGAGTTTGCGAAATGGATAGTCAAGAAACAACTGATTACGCGAGGGGAAAAGATAACGTCCAACCTAACTCAACAACAGGCCACGGTGGTCAGGGACTCGGTTGCTAAATTCATTTATTCTAGCCTATTCGATTGGCTTGTTGATAGGATCAACCAAGGTCTGGCTACCGATAGTATCTTGAACAAGTTCAAGTCTTTCATTGGCGTTTTGGATATTTACGGGTTCGAACATTTTGCGAAAAACTCTTTCGAGCAGTTTTGCATCAACTACGCCAATGAGAAGCTGCAGCAAGAGTTTAACCAGCACGTGTTCAAACTGGAACAGGAAGAATATGTGCGCGAGCAGATAGACTGGACGTTCATTGACTTTTCGGACAACCAACCTTGTATTGACCTAATTGAAGCAAAATTGGGTATCTTATCCCTTTTGGATGAAGAATCTCGGTTGCCTATGGGCTCAGATGAGCAATTTGTGACCAAATTGCACCACAATTTCGCCGCAGATAAGCAGAAATTCTACAAGAAGCCCCGGTTCGGCAAGTCCGCGTTTACGATATGTCACTATGCGGTCGATGTGACCTACGAGTCCGACGGCTTCATAGAAAAGAACCGGGACACTGTTCCAGACGAGCATTTGGAGATTCTGCGAGGCTCATCCAATGAGTTCGTGAAAGAAATCCTAGACACGGCAGCAGCCGTTCGCGAGAAAGATTCGGCATCTATCTCATCCAAGCCCGTGGCTGCCCCAGGTCGAAAAATTGGCGTTGCTGTCAATCGCAAGCCAACTCTGGGAGGAATTTTCAAATCATCATTGATTGAGCTCATGAACACAATCAACTCTACCGACGTGCACTACATACGCTGCATCAAACCTAATGAGGCTAAGGAGTCGTGGAAGTTCGAAGGGCCGATGGTACTCAGTCAACTGAGAGCCTGTGGTGTCCTTGAGACTGTACGGATCAGTACTGCTGGATATCCTACACGCTGGACATACGAGGAATTTGCAATCCGGTACTACATGCTTTGTCACTCATCGCAATGGACGTCAGAAATTAGGGACATGTGCCATGCCATTCTACAAAAAGCTCTTGGGGATGGCACCCAGCAAAAGCAAGATAAATACCAACTGGGTTTAACGAAGATATTCTTTCGAGCAGGCATGCTTGCTTTTCTCGAGAATCTTCGCACATCAAGATTGAATGGGTGTGCTGTTATGATACAGAAGAACCTTCGATGCAAGTACTACCGCCGCAGATATCTCGAGGCTCGTGCCTCTATCCTCACAACGCAGGCTCTTATTAGAGGTTTCTTGGCAAGGCAACGTGCAGCTGAGATACGGCAGGTCAAGGCAGCTACGACTATTCAGAGGGTATGGCGAGGACAGAAGGAGCGGCGGAATTACAGCCGCATTCGTGCCAATTTCATTCTTTTCCAGTCAGTTGCGAAGGGATTCCTTTGCCGTCAGAATATCCTCGACACGATCCATGGCAATGCAGCCAAAGTAATACAGCGATCGTTCCGCTCCTGGCGACAGCTACGCGCCTGGAGGCAATACCGCAGAAAAGTGATCATTGTCCAGAATCTCTGGAGAGGAAAGCAGGCCAGGAGAGAGTACAAAAAGCTCCGCGAGGATGCTCGGGACCTCAAACAGATCTCTTATAAGCTGGAAAATAAGGTGGTAGAGTTGACTCAGTACCTCGAATCCTTGAAGCGAGAAAATAAGTCACTCAACTCGCAACTGGAGAATTATGAGACACAAGTGAAGTCTTGGAGAAGCCGACACAATGTGCTCGAGAATCGTTCGAAAGAATTACAGGCCGAAGCAAACCAGGCAGGTATTACTGCTGCTCGCTTAACTGCCATGGAGGAGGAAATGAACAAGTTACAACAGCACCATAATGATGCGCAGGCAACCATCAAGCGTCTACAGGAAGAAGAGAAGGTCTCACGGGAATCGATTCGTACCGCAAACCAAGAGTTGGAGAAACTTCAGCAGCTGAATACTGATGCTGAAAACGAAAAGGCATCTCTTCGTCAGCAGATAGTCGATCTCGAAGAACAGCTTGAGCTTGCAAAGAGGGTTGTGCCTGCCAACGGCGTAAATGGAGATCAGCCGAACGGTGGGCCCATCCAGCCGCCTGCGAGCGGCTTGATAAACCTCGTTTCTTCCAAGAAGCCCAAGCCTAAAAGACGAAGTGCCGGGGCTGAGCGGATCGATATTGATCGTTTCAGTGGTGCCTATAACCCGAGGCCAGTGTCGATGGCCATTCCTAGCTCGGCTATGGGCCGCCAGCATTTCTCGGGAAATGCTTTCTCTCCAGGCCTGGACTCCGTTGAGGTAGAGCTCGAGAATTTGTTGTCTGAAGAAGATGAGCTCAATGAAGAGGTGACTATGGGCTTGATACGCAACTTGAAAATCCCACTACCCAGCTCTACGCCTCCACCAACGGAGAAGGAGGTCTTGTTCCCAGCTTATTTGATCAATTTAGTGACTTCCGAAATGTGGAACAATGGCTTTGTGAAAGAGTCCGAGCGTTTCTTAGCCAACGTCATGCAGTCAATCCAGCAAGAGGTTATGCAGCATGATGGAGAGGATGCCATTAATCCTGGAGCCTTTTGGCTTTCGAATGTCCACGAAATGTTGTCTTTCGTTTTCTTGGCCGAAGATTGGTATGAAGCACAAAAGACGGATAATTTCGAGTATGATCGTCTTTTAGAGATTGTGAAGCATGATCTCGAAAGCCTGGAGTTCAACATTTATCATACGTGGATGAAGGTATTGAAGAAGAAGCTTTACAAGATGATTGTACCAGCGATCATAGAATCCCAGTCCCTCCCTGGGTTCGTTACAAGCGAAACAAACAGGTTTCTTGGGAAGCTCTTACCCTCCAACAACAACCCAGCCTACAGTATGGATAACCTTCTCAGTCTCTTGAACAATGTCTACAAAGCAATGAAGGCTTTCTATTTAGAAGAGACTATTATCACACAGACGGTCACTGAGCTTCTCCGACTTGTCGGTGTCACTGCATTCAATGACCTTCTCATGCGGAGAAACTTTCTCTCCTGGAAACGTGGCCTGCAGATCAATTACAACATTACCCGCATCGAGGAGTGGTGCAAGAGCCATGATATGCCCGAGGGTACACTTCAGCTGGAGCATCTAATGGTAAGATACCTATCGAGGCGATGGATTTGTTCTGTCCGCTAAATTCATCTCTTTCTAGCAAGCGACCAAGCTTCTTCAGCTGAAGAAGGCCACCCTGAATGACATCGAGATTATTCAAGATATTTGTTGGATGTGAGTTCCGGTCAACTTTGTCCTGCTGAAATTCCATGCAGTACTGACAGGTTTAGGCTCTCGCCAAACCAAATCCAGAAACTCCTGAATCAGTATCTCGTGGCTGACTATGAGCAACCTATCAATGGTGAAATCATGAAGGCCGTGGCCTCCCGTGTCACCGAGAAGAGTGATGTTCTCCTCCTGACACCAGTTGACATGGAAGATAGTGGGCCGTATGAGATTGCGGAGCCACGTGTTATAACAGCCTTGGAGACATACACCCCATCATGTAAGTGGGCTTCAGCGGAAAATGCATTGAGTGATGCTAACGGTCTCTGAAGGGCTTCAAACGCCGCGACTAAAGCGGCTGGCTGAAATCGTATCTGCCCAAGCAATGGCTCAGCAAGAGAGGCTGGAGATGACGGAAAGCGGCGCGGCGACGATGGAATAGACTTTGTATATGAACAACGGAGTACCAGCAATTTCATAGAAACCATGATGATGAGCGTTTGTATCGTGCTAGCCAGTTTATATTATAGTACATCTCTGTAAGCAGCCGAATGAAGGCCCCTCATAAGTTGTTGCTCCATTGCAATTTAACCACACTACCACCTGGTGGGGCTGCGGGGAAACTAGAATCTTAAGCGTTGGAGGATTGAACGAACCCTCGGCGGAACAGGTATATATATATTTAGCGCACCCCCGTCTATCCGTTCCTCTTTGTCTGCAGTCTGTCAACGAACAACCTACTATCTGGTTTTTTTATTGTTGCCTCTAGTAAGAATCCGTTCGGTCTACGCAAAGATGGCCTCGATGAAAAAAATAAACTTCATCACCGGCAACAAAAACAAACTAGCAGAAGTGAAAGCGATATTAGGGACTGTGATCGACGTTGAAAATCAAGCAGTTGACCTTCCTGAGATACAGGGCACGATAGAAGAGATTGCCCGGGAGAAATGTCGACGTGCAGCAGAAGTGGTGAGTGACATCGCAGAAGGCAGAATCCGCACAGCTCAAAGACAATGACTCACTTCGGTCAGGTCGGAGGCCCGGTGTTGACGGAAGATACTGCACTTGAGTTTCACGCTCTTAACGGACTGCCTGGCCCATACATGTATGTCTTCCCTCACTTAAGCATACTAACTCTTCTAATAATTCTACCTAGCAAATCATTCCTCGATGCCCTAGGCCATGAAGGCCTGAATAAATTGCTTGACTCATTCGAGACCAGAGCCGCGGAGGCTGTCTGCACCTTTGCCTTTTCCAGCGGACCCGGTTCGGATCCAATCTTATTCCAGGGTAGAACTGAGGTAGGATTAAGTGCCAACTCCACCTACCCTGTCAGAAGCTGACGCATCGCAAGGGAGCTATCGTGAGACCAAGAGGTCCTGCGAATTTTGGTATGTACAGGCGACTATTAGTTACAAACATCAATGCTCACTAGCTTCTCCCAGGCTGGGATCCGATTTTCGAGTATCGCGGCAAGACTTACGCTGAAATGGACAAAGAGGAGAAGGTAATGGAATTGTCCCATCAATTTCTTCAATCAGCCACTAATACTGGAGCAGAACCTCATCTCACACAGATATAAAGCCCTGGTCAAGTTGCAAGATTGGCTGGCCGACAGACGTGATTGATATAAACTGCGAATTTCACGGTGCGAATTGGTGTCGGTTTCGGCCGCCCCCCTCCCCCGGATTGCCGTGGGTAAATCGAGATCTCAGGCTCGGTCATTTTTCCAAGATTGTACCCAGCTAGAAATCCTTGCGCAATTGGACTCTACATCATCATCCCTCTCACTATTCAATTCAACCACTAATTCCTCGTCGAAGGCTTCTCGAGCTTCGTCAAGCAAAACACCAAATATTTCGGCATCTAAATTTTCCTGCAGCTTCGTCTCATTGTATCCCCTGTAAACCGATAAGCTCCAATTAGATATTTCAGCTAATAATGAAGGGGGAGGGCGGGGGTGGGAGCGGATGGCTTATATTCCTTGTGGTGTACCTTGATGCGAGACGATCATAATGAACAGCAGTAGATGGGCAGCGTAATACAACGACCAGATCAATCCATGACTTGGGGAATAGATCGCATGCATGCCAGTCAATTAGATAGCCACCTTGAAGTACTTGATCCTCGATAGCGTCCAGGAGCTGCAATATGTATGTTAGGTAAATGTGAGGAGACTGGGAACTAGACTATATAAGCGTTACATGAACGTACTTTGTCCTCGTCCACAACCCAGGTTTGTAATTCGTGGTCATATGTCTCGTAGCAGTCTCGCTCTTTTGCGACATGGTTGATTGAAAGATGCCGCAGACCTGTCTCCTCGGCCAATTGTTCACAATGGACGGTTTTTCCTACGCCGGGCGTGCCTGTTATTATCACATTTGGAGATGTCCGCATTATGCCTCATAAAAATGTGCGACGTGAATGAGTATTTTTTTAATTTGCCCGATAAAGGCCGATAAAGTTTCAACAGTGAGGGGAAAATTTCCGTGGGGTAAGTAATCAGTACAGCTTCGGATTATCAAAAGTCCCGATATCTCCATAAGTTACCCGGTGCTACATGATTCGTTATCGTTATCTAGTTGGTCGAAGCTGCCGTGCTCATATTTATATATGCACGAATAGGCACTATAGTACTCAGAAAATGCTAGCTCATATGTAACCCTGATAAGGATGGTGATATGTAGAGCTCGCCGGGTGGCTTGAGTTCTTACAACGTGGTACAATGCACGGGAAAACTCAAACCTGGGTAACTTTCCTCTTGAGCATGATGCTACTTGTTGAGCTGACGTATAGCGGCTACCTGACGAGTCATGCCCATACTCATGATAGTGGGAAATGGCAAACTAGGCATGTTGTGATGTGCGCTTCACACTGGAAGGCCAAAGAACTGTTGCTGTTTTGCAGTTTGATGCCATGCCGCGATAGTTTGCAGTGCTATTTGCTAGACGAATTGGCGGAATATTTTAGTCTAGAAGCAATCTGGTAAGCTATTACTGCATCGTCACCATATTGGTCGCCTCTTCTATCATACTTACTTTAGAAGCTCAAATGCCTTGTACTTCTGCAAATATGCTGTGCCTCGTCTGTATGCCTTCAATACGCGTGCAGGGTCCGACGTCAGTGCTTGTGCCCCCCTAAGGCGCTTCACTGCTGGGGGTGTTCGGAACATAGGATCGAAAACTAGTATGTCTGCGCTGCCACCGTCACGTATTTCGAAGCCGATAATGGTCATGGAATGTCCTGTTTATGTCCGGCCACCAATTAGACAGGTCCCATATCACGAAGAAAAAGGTCTTCAAACCCTGGTGCTGGAAGTAAATGGGGGGCAAGTTCGTCTGCATGACTTTTTTCCCTTCCTCCAAAGCACTTGATTCTCGAAAATAAGCCGCAACATTCATATATAATGCGTCATGTGCACGCACTTCCTTCGAGGCACCAATGCTGTTTGCTTCGCACCTGTGGGTTGTTAAAGCAGCGCTTCGCAATTTGTAGAAGGAGTCTTACTGTATGCCGAGACTCGAGAACAGGGCTTGTGCCTATAGAGTAATGAATCAAATTGCAACCATAAGATTACGTTCATGGTCATCATACCTCTGGCGTGCCAATGTACTTCCTTGTTCCTCGGATACCTCCTGTTTCGACCCTCCCTACACTATTGAAACCCTTGTCCCACGCATCTTCGATCATATCTTGTAGTTGGAAGATCGTGGGTAGTTCCGTTGGGAAGCGCTCATGCCCCGGAAGCTGGGTTTCTTTCAAAAAGGTGATTAGCATTTGGATGTTCCTATAGCCGCAAAATCCCCCTTCTTTGGGGATCTTGGAGATCTGATGGACCTTTGGGCTGCAGAAAAAAGCACGTTGGACGGATTTGTCCTGCTCACACAACCGAGCGAGCACCGGGATGACATCGCGCGTCTCGTTTTCGACAGCTTCGCGCCTCCGAAGCGTGCCGTCTGAGGCAATTGTGTTTGTGAAGATTGACATAGAACCCCTCTCTAACATTCTTCGCAGCCATGATGGCATCTGCTTTTCGTGAGCATGAGGCCCTAACTCCGTACGCTAGGTTGAGTGTCAGCACAACGCGCTCTATGATGTATAAAGGGTAAGTGAGGATTTCGTACTCCAAGCCGCTTAGCTGTCTCTCTGTGCGGTGTTTTTGTGCCGCTGACCAATGACCACGGCGAGGGCGTTCTATCTTCATTGGGTAGCAGCCCGGGAGTGCGCTGTTTCAACCGTTCCCGTCTCTCTGCGTCGTGGCTTGACACTGGACTCTCCACGTCAACAGGCAACTCTGGCTGGTGTAAAGATATGTCTTCAAAGGCAACTGTTTCCGCAAAGTGCAAGTCGAGGTGGGCGGCGAGTTCAGTGTTGAGTACTATTTCCCCACAGCCGTGCGGACACTCGGCATAATCCCCTGGACATTCTCCTGTTCCAGTTGAAGATGCATTTGCCGGCCGTCTGCTATGCTCAGCCTGAGTATCCACTTCAGGGTGATAAACGTCCACATGCTCTACAACACGGCTAATGTCCGGATCAGAAAATGGACAAAAGGGACACGTTGAATCACTATGATTTATCTGGTCCATGGCAGCCAGTTTTTTATTGTAACCGCCCCAAGGATTACCTCAAGATGAGATGAAAACAGCTCCGCGTTCTTGTAAGTTATGGTTAGCATATGTGTTCCAGCAACTAAGAAGAGGTGATTAGGAGCCGACTAGGGCCAGAAAGTAGACAAAATTGACAGTTGGCTAAATAGGCAACCATCGTAGGCCCACCTAACTCAACCACAAAATCATGTGCCAAGTAGGTTAGATGCGAAGATCGAGGCCCAACTGAGACAACTTATGTTAAAACAATATACAATTTAACTTTTCTTATAACCATTACTTACTCCGACGATGTACTGGGGTGTGGCCAAGAGCCCAACAATGAGAATGAATGGAAGTTTGGCCTCGGGGACTCTCTGGTATTATCAAACAATACCATTACGGGTAATATTAGCCTCATATTCATATCGGTTATTCTTCCCGACTTGCTACCAGCAAATCAAGATGTAGTTAGTTTGCTACTGTAAGTAGGCAGGAAATACGGAGTATATTAATATTTCCGCCGATGAAATATTACTGCTACTTAACATGTATCACAAATTAGATTTGATGCACCCCTTCTTGCACATATTAAGATAGACGAATCTGTCTTTCTGATGGTAAAACAGTACAGAGTATCATAATATCGATAACAGGTAGCATACTGAACGGATCTCATTGAATAGTCACACCTCGCTAGTTCTATAATACAAACTGCTGCACATAGCAATACCAAGGGAAATCAGAAACGTGGGACCCTAAATGGGCGATACCATAATCCGCGACAAAACAGCCAAATCAACCACCTGTAGTCTGCTGTTGAGCCATCTTCGTATGAGAGTCTCATTATATCTGAGCGCAAGCATGATTACAGGTATCATAGATTCAATCCTTGAAAAGAATTTTGATGCCTATAAAACTTTTGTATTGATGGCTAAAAATGATCAGCCAGATAGGATGTCTAATACAATGTGTTATAGAAGAACATGATAGTTTA